GAGGCGCCTTGGGCGGCGCAGCGCTCTATTGTAGTGAGAGGCGCCTTGGGGCGGTGCAGCGCTCTATTGTAGTGAGAGGCGCCTTGGGGCGGCGCAGCGCTCTATTGTAGTGAGAGGCGCCTTGGGGCGGCGCAGCGCTCTATTGTAGTGAGAGGCGCCTTGGGGCAGCGCAGCGCTCTATTGTAGTGAGAGGCGCCTTGGGGCGGCGCAGCGCTCTATTGTAGTGAGAGGCGCCTTGGGGCGGTGCAGCGCTCTCTTTCTGGTAACTTTCATCTTGTCGACAGGTGGAGCGCGCCGCTGTTTTTGACATTATATGCATATATTCCTGTTGGGAATTCTATTACGAACACACTGATACCAAAATAAAAGACCTACAACGAGAATTGAGGTGACCAAAGTGAAAGGAGTGTACACATTTTATCGGTCCTGCGCGCTCCCGGGTAACACGCTCTCTCTTTCTCCGTTTGTTGCGGATAGTACGCTGGGTATTTGGACTTCATATGACTTTAGTCCTGTAGAGAATTCTATTGCAAACACAATGATACCAAATTGAAAAACTTAGGACAAGAATTGAGGTAACAAAGTTGAAAAGATTATACACTTCAGAATTACCGCGCGCTCCCGCGAAATGCCCAAACCCACCCGGAGTAGTGTGACGCATGTGCGCCCAGAACATCAAAGTGTTAAGGGGATCCAACTGACTTTTATCCTATACAGTGCTTCTATTGAAGGTTTTCATTTTCGTGTTCCAAAATTTAAATTTGTCCCCATTGAACATATTATTTTCTGTTGCTCTTTTGAAAACTTTGTTAATATATGGCAGTAATTTTTCTGCAATTTCTCCACCAACAGTTTTCTTACTGTGGCTAGTATTCCCATCTGTCTTCTATAAGAATGAATAGCCACACAAGGACTCAACCTTGTAGAGCATCTTTCCTCAATCTTTGACATTTTTGGTTACAATTATTAAACAGTTTACAAGCATGAAACTTGCCAATCAACTATTGTTATTGTCATAAACAGCCTCCTGGTGCTTCGGAGCTCATTAACTGTTTAATAATTTTAGTATATTTTGGTAGCAGTCTTTCTTGTAAACATATGTTGTTAAATATGACCGAAAAAGTAAGATTAATAATTCTAACACGAATTTTCTCAATATTTCTTAAGTTTCTTTTTACTGTTGATGGAAATTGAAAAATCATTTACCAACAACAGTAAAAAGAAACATAAGAAATATTGAGAAAATTCCTGTTAGAATTATTAATCTTACTTTTTTGGTCATATTTAACAACATGTTTAATAATTGTAAACAAAGCCGCCAAAGATTGAGAAAAGATGTACAGGTTTGTAAGTGCTTGGTGAATCTGGCCCCAGGTTCGTAAGTGCTTCGTGAATCTGGCCCCAGGTTCGTAAGTGCTTGCGTAAGTGCTTCGTGAATCTGTCCCCAGAGCTTTACACCCTACGCGGGCGGGATTTTGTCTGGATTTACTACACTCCTTGTAATCAGCTCTAGAAAATTAAGAGTTCACCGCTCTACTTTACCCATTATTCTCCTAATTTTCATTCAGACTCGGACTCTAGGCTCTCCTAGTAGACTAGTCCAGCCTATAACTAGTAGACTACTTATCCTAGTAGAACTCGCCTAGTTCTAAAGCACTTGTCCTATCGTGGCCGAGTGGGACCTTGAGGTTATCTTGAGATGATGTCGGGGCTTTAGTGTCCCCGCGGCCCGGTCCTCGACCGGGCCTCCACCCCTAGGAAGCAGCCCGTGACAGCTGACTAACACCCAGGTACCTATTTTACTGCTAGGTAACAGGGGCATAGGGTGAAAGAAACTCTGCCCATTGTTTCTTGCCGCCACCTGGGATCGAACCCAAGACCACAGCATCACAAGTCCAGCGTACTGTCCGCTCGGCCGACCGGCTCCCAAGCAAGTAAGGGATAAGGCAAGCATCTGAGAGTAACTAGAATGCTGCTTCAAATCCCTTCCATTACTCCAAATGACTCTCTCAATTTTATCGACTTATTCCACGGTCACATTCATGAAAAATGCTTTTGCAAAGTCTGTGTATACAATACATGCATTTTTGTTTACTTCCAATGCATCTGTAATTTAGTCACAGTGATCAATTTAAAAAATACTCTTCCTGGTAAAAACCATATTGATCTAGATTTTGTAGAACATGTTCTTTTCCATTCAGGTGGTAAGCTGGCTTACCAACTAGAGTAGCAGCCCTGGAAACACAAAACGAAACTGTCTCTCTTTTCCGCTTGTTACAACTTGTAATAAAGTTGTTACATCTTGGCTTAACGTGTTTATGACGTATTAGAACGTTGTGACAACTTGCTATATTGGTTATTATAACTGGTTAGGTGTTAATACTTGTATCAATGTCGAAGTTTCGGTGTGTGTTTGGCGGGACCCTCTCAAATACCTTTATGATGTGTGGTGTTAGTGCATGCGCTCTTTTACATACTACAAACTTCAAAACTTTTTATACATCTCAGAATTTTAAAGCTTTAGCTAATCCCAGTCCAGTTTGTTACCTGCAATTCTGCATACGAGTTTTATTTTATAGACCTAAAACTACATTAGACTAAATAAATTCAGGACATTAAAAAACTTCCCAGACAAAATTTCTACAAAAACAATGAACCTAAGTTTCTAATTCAAAATCTAAAAAAGGTGGCAGTATTCTACCTAATGCAACTAAAAAGTGATCAACAGGCCCAAATATCAATAATTAATTGTTAGATATTCTTCGGCTTACTCTGACTACATAAAAGGATAAACGGACACCCACCTTAGCAGCCACCGTTGCCAGGTGTTTATTATGCAGCCGTTTAGTCAGAAACTGAAGGACAAGAGGAAGCAAGCTGGGGTGGCAGGCGATCCACTCGTTGAGCTCGGCGAGTAACTGAACCGACGTAAACGCCACTTGCAAGTGTATGTCGTCGGGCTGGCCGAGCAAGCCTTCCAAGATCGGAGGGCTTTTGAAAACTTTGTTAATATATGGCAGTAATTTTTCTGCAATTTCTCCACCAACAGTTTTCTTACTGTGGCTAGTATTCCCATCTGTCTTCTATAAGAATGAATAGCCACACAAGGACTCAACCTTGTAGAGCATCTTTCCTCAATCTTTGACATTTTTGGTTACAATTATTAAACAGTTTACAAGCATGAAACTTGCCAATCAACTATTGTTATTGTCATAAACAGCCTCCTGGTGCTTCGGAGCTCATTAACTGTTTAATAATTTTAGTATATTTTGGTAGCAGTCTTTCTTGTAAACATATGTTGTTAAATATGACCGAAAAAGTAAGATTAATAATTCTAACACGAATTTTCTCAATATTTCTTAAGTTTCTTTTTACTGTTGATGGAAATTGAAAAATCATTTACCAACAACAGTAAAAAGAAACATAAGAAATATTGAGAAAATTCCTGTTAGAATTATTAATCTTACTTTTTTGGTCATATTTAACAACATGTTTAATAATTGTAAACAAAGCCGCCAAAGATTGAGAAAAGATGTACAGGTTTGTAAGTGCTTGGTGAATCTGGCCCCAGGTTCGTAAGTGCTTCGTGAATCTGGCCCCAGGTTCGTAAGTGCTTGCGTAAGTGCTTCGTGAATCTGTCCCCAGAGCTTTACACCCTACATGGGCGGGATTTTGTCTGGATTTACTACACTCCTTGTAATCAGCTCTAGAAAATTAAGAGTTCACCGCTCTACTTTACCCATTATTCTCCTAATTTTCATTCAGACTCGGACTCTAGGCTCTCCTAGTAGACTAGTCCAGCCTATAACTAGTAGACTACTTATCCTAGTAGAACTCGCCTAGTTCTAAAGCACTTGTCCTATCGTGGCCGAGTGGGACCTTGAGGTTATCTTGAGATGATGTCGGGGCTTTAGTGTCCCCGCGGCCCGGTCCTCGACCGGGCCTCCACCCCTAGGAAGCAGCCCGTGACAGCTGACTAACACCCAGGTACCTATTTTACTGCTAGGTAACAGGGGCATAGGGTGAAAGAAACTCTGCCCATTGTTTCTTGCCGCCACCTGGGATCGAACCCAAGACCACAGCATCACAAGTCCAGCGTACTGTCCGCTCGGCCGACCGGCTCCCAAGCAAGTAAGGGATAAGGCAAGCATCTGAGAGTAACTAGAATGCTGCTTCAAATCCCTTCCATTACTCCAAATGACTCTCTCAATTTTATCGACTTATTCCACGGTCACATTCATGAAAAATGCTTTTGCAAAGTCTGTGTATACAATACATGCATTTTTGTTTACTTCCAATGCATCTGTAATTTAGTCACAGTGATCAATTTAAAAATACTCTTCCTGGTAAAAACCATATTGATCTAGATTTTGTAGAACATGTTCTTTTCCATTCAGGTGGTAAGCTGGCTTACCAACTAGAGTAGCAGCCCTGGAAACACAAAACGAAACTGTCTCTCTTTTCCGCTTGTTACAACTTGTAATAAAGTTGTTACATCTTGGCTTAACGTGTTTATGACGTATTAGAACGTTGTGACAACTTGCTATATTGGTTATTATAACTGGTTAGGTGTTAATACTTGTATCAATGTCGAAGTTTCGGTGTGTGTTTGGCGGGACCCTCTCAAATACCTTTATGATGTGTGGTGTTAGTGCATGCGCTCTTTTACATACTACAAACTTCAAAACTTTTTATACATCTCAGAATTTTAAAGCTTTAGCTAATCCCAGTCCAGTTTGTTACCTGCAATTCTGCATACGAGTTTTATTTTATAGACCTAAAACTACATTAGACTAAATAAATTCAGGACATTAAAAAACTTCCCAGACAAAATTTCTACAAAAACAATGAACCTAAGTTTCTAATTCAAAATCTAAAAAAGGTGGCAGTATTCTACCTAATGCAACTAAAAAGTGATCAACAGGCCCAAATATCAATAATTAATTGTTAGATATTCTTCGGCTTACTCTGACTACATAAAAGGATAAACGGACACCCACCTTAGCAGCCACCGTTGCCAGGTGTTTATTATGCAGCCGTTTAGTCAGAAACTGAAGGACAAGAGGAAGCAAGCTGGGGTGGCAGGCGATCCACTCGTTGAGCTCGGCGAGTAACTGAACCGACGTAAACGCCACTTGCAAGTGTATGTCGTCGGGCTGGCCGAGCAAGCCTTCCAAGATCGGAGGGACCACTTCGCTCTCCTCTCTGAAATATTACACCACATAAAAACAAACGATCAACTGTCGTAAACAATCAACTGTTTACAATTAACAGTAAACAATGACTGTTCAATAGATATGGTTGTGTACTTAACTCAAGGATATAACCATAATTGAACATGTCACTATATAAAGAAAATACACGATGGCAATATTACTCGGACTACTACCCACCTATTAGTGTCTACCGTGTGATGGTTCTGGCGCTCAAGGTCCCTACGGATCAGTTTCAAATTGACTTTATTCATAAATATTTATATTATTAGTTGGGTTAGTTTGCACAAATTGACAGCAAATTATTGACCTAAGTCATAAAAACAACACAACACGTAATACCAGGAATTATAAACTATATACAGGTAGATGAGGAGTCACAATAATGTGGGTGACAAATATTGACCAGACCACACAGTAGAAAGTCGAGAGGAGACGACGTTTCGGTGCATCCTGGACCATATCTCGAGGTTATCTTGAGATGATTTCGGGGCTTTTTAAGTGTCTCTGCAGCCCGGTCCTCGACCAGGCCTCCACCACCAGGAAGCAGCCCGTGACAGCTGACTAACACTCAGGTACCTATTTTACTGCTAAGTAACAGGGGCATAGGGTGCAAGAAACTTTTACCCATTGTTTCTTGCCGGCGCCCGGGATCGAACCCGGGACCACAGGATCACAAGTCCAGCGTGCTGTCCGCTCGGCTCCCTTATCACAATATCCGGCCATTCTCATAATCGACTTGATAATGGTCCAGGACGGACCAAAACGTCGTCGTCTCTTGACTTTCTAGTGTGTGGTTTGGTCAATATATACAGGTACTTAACATTTAAACTGAGCAGCTACATTTATTAATGTAGCAGCTAAATCGTAAATTGTACACTTGTCAAATTCAGACTCAAACTATGCAAGAGCTTGTACAAATCATTACAATAATGGCTCAACTAAACAGGTGTACATCAGTCTAAATCAAATTTTACATTTTGGGTATAAAGTGATACCATTTAGCTAGAAATTTGAATGGTAATATAAACTGCATAAAAACAGTGTAGTTTACCATTAAAGCATTAAGACAAATATTAGCACACTTTATATTACATAAGTAGAATGATGAGAAGATCATTTCAAGAACTGTATATAGCTTGGATGTGCTTGGTTGTGTATATAGAATGTGCTTGGTTGTGCTTCCATTACTGCTAATGACATTCTCATACCCAAAAGGTTTGGAGAGTACATAGCTACCTTACCTTGAGGTTACCTTGAGGTGATTTCGGGACTCAGCGTCCCGGCGGCCCGGTCGTCGACCAGCGAGGAGGCCTGGTCGACGACCGGGCCGCGGGGTCGCTAAACCCCAAAATCACCTCAAGGTAACCTCAAGGTAAGGTAGCTATGTACTCCCCAAACCTTTTGGGTATGAGAATCTCATTAGCAGTAATCCAAGCGCAACCAAGCACATTCTGCACTAAGTTATAACTGCATGTAATTGAATATTTTATGTCATATTTGTAATGTTATACCAGGGGTTTTATTTTCCCCAGTGCAATGATGCATTGGGCTCTCAATAATATAATTTGTATCACAGAACATGTGGAACACTGATATGTACATTTATTATCGTTACTAATATGTCAACTACAATATTAGAACAATAAATCAGACTATTTTTGCTGTTATCATACAGTATACACAAGTTATATAGAATTGTGTGTGTGTGTGTGTGTGTGGGGGGGGGGGTGAGTACTTCACTTGTGACGTAGTGAAGTACCTCCCAATATCTGTAAACAATTCCCAAATGACATTAGAGTACCTCAGTAATGGTAATGTCTACCCACAGACATAATAACATGGTATAAAACCCCACTTGTGTATCTGTGAGATTTATGTGAAAAAATTACACAAAATCTGTCAAGCTCGGAGATAATCACACACTCGGAGCTCGACAAAGCACTCGGGAGAGTGCGAAAGACTTGCTGTAATTAACATAAATCTCATAAATCCCCAAGTGTGGGATTTGATCCCAGATTAGAGTATCTCTTGCGATAAAAAGACACCCGAGACAAAACTTACGGTACAAGATTCTTAGCCACGCTCTGCATGATGAACAACGCAGCCTCCATCAGATTCCAGTTCTTGGTCACGTCTGGTGACTGGAGTATGTGTGCCATCTGCTGGAAACACAGTTTGGAGCCACAAATAAACACCACATCCTTAATCAACTCTTGCACTCGCTCTCGGAACTCGTAGAAGTCGTCTTGCTGAACCAGTATGCTCTCCTGCAGGGTCTCGAGGTTATCTTGAGATGATTTCGGGGCTTTTTAAGTGTCTCTGCAGCCCGGTCCTCGACCAGGCCTCCACCACCAGGAAGCAGCCCGTGACAGCTGACTAACACTCAGGTACCTATTTTACTGCTAAGTAACAGGGGCATAGGGTGCAAGAAACTTTTACCCATTGTTTCTTGCCGGCGCCCGGGATCGAACCCGGGACCACAGGATCACAAGTCCAGCGTGCTGTCCGCTCGGCTCCCTTATCACAATATCCGGCCATTCTCATAATCGACTTGATAATGGTCCAGGACGGACCAAAACGTCGTCGTCTCTTGACTTTCTAGTGTGTGGTTTGGTCAATATATACAGGTACTTAACATTTAAACTGAGCAGCTACATTTATTAATGTAGCAGCTAAATCGTAAATTGTACACTTGTCAAATTCAGACTCAAACTATGCAAGAGCTTGTACAAATCATTACAATAATGGCTCAACTAAACAGGTGTACATCAGTCTAAATCAAATTTTACATTTTGGGTATAAAGTGATACCATTTAGCTAGAAATTTGAATGGTAATATAAACTGCATAAAAACAGTGTAGTTTACCATTAAAGCATTAAGACAAATATTAGCACACTTTATATTACATAAGTAGAATGATGAGAAGATCATTTCAAGAACTGTATATAGCTTGGATGTGCTTGGTTGTGTATATAGAATGTGCTTGGTTGTGCTTCCATTACTGCTAATGACATTCTCATACCCAAAAGGTTTGGAGAGTACATAGCTACCTTACCTTGAGGTTACCTTGAGGTGATTTCGGGACTCAGCGTCCCGGCGGCCCGGTCGTCGACCAGCGAGGAGGCCTGGTCGACGACCGGGCCGCGGGGTCGCTAAACCCCAAAATCACCTCAAGGTAACCTCAAGGTAAGGTAGCTATGTACTCCCCAAACCTTTTGGGTATGAGAATCTCATTAGCAGTAATCCAAGCGCAACCAAGCACATTCTGCACTAAGTTATAACTGCATGTAATTGAATATTTTATGTCATATTTGTAATGTTATACCAGGGGTTTTATTTTCCCCAGTGCAATGATGCATTGGGCTCTCAATAATATAATTTGTATCACAGAACATGTGGAACACTGATATGTACATTTATTATCGTTACTAATATGTCAACTACAATATTAGAACAATAAATCAGACTATTTTTGCTGTTATCATACAGTATACACAAGTTATATAGAATTGTGTGTGTGTGTGTGTGTGTGGGGGGGGGGGTGAGTACTTCACTTGTGACGTAGTGAAGTACCTCCCAATATCTGTAAACAATTCCCAAATGACATTAGAGTACCTCAGTAATGGTAATGTCTACCCACAGACATAATAACATGGTATAAAACCCCACTTGTGTATCTGTGAGATTTATGTGAAAAAATTACACAAAATCTGTCAAGCTCGGAGATAATCACACACTCGGAGCTCGACAAAGCACTCGGGAGAGTGCGAAAGACTTGCTGTAATTAACATAAATCTCATAAATCCCCAAGTGTGGGATTTGATCCCAGATTAGAGTATCTCTTGCGATAAAAAGACACCCGAGACAAAACTTACGGTACAAGATTCTTAGCCACGCTCTGCATGATGAACAACGCAGCCTCCATCAGATTCCAGTTCTTGGTCACGTCTGGTGACTGGAGTATGTGTGCCATCTGCTGGAAACACAGTTTGGAGCCACAAATAAACACCACATCCTTAATCAACTCTTGCACTCGCTCTCGGAACTCGTAGAAGTCGTCTTGCTGAACCAGTATGCTCTCCTGCAGGGAACACACTTTAATTTAAACCAATTTTACCTCTTTTCAATTAATTTGGTCTTTTTAAAAAAACTGCCGTTTAAAGACTTTTAACAACATGTCAATTACATCAAACTTCTTGCATAAATTGATAAAAAAAAGTAATTACTTTAATTATTAATTTATACCAATTTTTGTGCCTGTTACTTGCCTCACAAAAAATTATTCTCTGCCTTGCCTTTATCGTCATCTTTTAGGATTACACTGTTTATGGCCCACTGACGCTTCAATACAATACTTTAGACAATATAACAATTCCATGATCTGTTGCCATGGGAGTTACAGACCTAATAACAACAATGACCTTCCTTGCACTACTACAATGACATGTTTAAAGTTTAAAGCCAAAACGCACAACAAAAAATGATCTACACATCACATGACACCAACCATATCTTCCAATCAAATCTTTTACAATTCCTAAGTAGCTGAAATTCTAAATGTTTAAATGTTATGTTGCCCCGTGATGCTGAAACAATGTGAATGAATGGGCCGGAAATTACTCACATGATCGGGCTCTATCTGACAGTGCCGATAAAGGGCCTCAATTAGTCGCTCAACATAAGGCTTAAACTGTTCATTTACGTTGTCACAGTTTTTTCTGTAGAGTACCTCCGATAGTTTGTACCAGAAGTTGAACGTGATCTCGGCAACCTGGAAAGAGAGCATTGCACGTGATTAACCGATAAAACAAAATAGTGGCTATAAGGTCACCACGTGATGTTACAAATTAAGCCACAGTGGATTAAAACACGAGATTAACACGAACCAAATATAAGGCATTTCAAATTACCAGTTATCAATGCACTTCACAACATCAAATATCAATTATATAGTATATCAACTCCTTCACCCTAATTCTTGCTCTTGCGGGGCAAGAGGGGGACCAGCTCGGTGAAACGACAGTGAATAATGGTGAAAGGTTATTCACCTTATTTAGTGTTACACACAACCACCCCAAGTACACCACCAGCCATCCCACAACCACCCCAAGTACACCACCAGCCATCCCACAACCACCCCAAGTACACCACCAGCCATCCCACAACCACCCCAAGTACACCACCAGCCATCCCACAACCACCCCAAGTACACCACCAGCCATCCCACAACCACCCCAAGTACACCACCAGCCATCCCACAACCACCCCAAGTACACCACCAGCCATCCCACAACCACCCCAAGTACACCATCAGCCATCCCACAACCACCCCAAGTACACCACCAGCCATCCCACAACCACCCCAAGTACACCACCAGCCATCCCACAACCACCCCAAGTACACCACCAGCCATCCCACAACCACCCCAAGTACACCACCAGCCATCCCACAACCACCCCAAGTACACCACCAGCCATCCCACAACCACCCCAAGTACACCATCAGCCATCCCACAACCACCCCAAGTACACCACCAGCCATCCCACAACCACCCCAAGTACACCACCAGCCATCCCACAACCACCCCAAGTACACCACCAGCCATCCCACAACCACCCCAAGTACACCACCAGCCATCCCACAACCACCCCAAGTACACCACCAGCCATCCCACAACCACCCCAAGTACACCACCAGCCATCCCACAACCACCCCAAGTACACCACCAGCCATCCCACAACCACCCCAAGTACACCACCAGCCATCCCACAACCACCCCAAGTACACCACCAGCCATCCCACAACCACCCCAAGTACACCACCAGCCATCCCACAACCACCCCAAGTACACCACCAGCCATCCCACAACCACCCCAAGTACACCACCAGCCATCCCACAAGCACCCCAAGTACACCACCAGCCATCCCACAACCACCCCAAGTACACCACCAGCCATCCCACAACCACCCCAAGTACACCACCAGCCATCCCACAACCACCCCAAGTACACCACCAGCCATCCCACAAGCACCCCAAGTACACCACCAGCCATCCCACAACCACCCCAAGTACACCACCAGCCATCCCACAAGCACCCCAAGTACACCACCAGCCATCCCACAACCACCCCAAGTACACCACCAGCCATCCCAACCTCTCCTCATAAAAAGTACATAGCATTTTGATGTACAGAATCCCCAACGTTAGGACTTGGGGTTCGGTGATCTGCTTAGACAACAGACCCTATCTTTCTGATTTTGTTGGGAACTGTTTCCCTGGGCATTAATGAGCAAACCAGGTATAATCAGCTAGGGGAATGGGGGGTATAAAGAGCTAGATCTCACTCCCTCATAAGTGGTAAGTAAGCGCCAGTATACATTAGGGAATGGGGGGTATAAAGAGCTAGATCTCACTCCCTCATAAGTGGTAAGTAAGCGCCAGTATACATTATATTGTAGTTGCTCTACGCCCTCCCAAAACAATACCTTTTTTTTTTTTTTTTTTTTTTTTTTTTTTTTTTTTTTTTTTTACCTGGGGAATTGCCAGGTGCCTGAAGGTTCTAACAAAATTCTATTATGCACCTTATACTTCTTTCAAACCAGTTCACACACACGTCCAAATTTTTATTATTATTATTATAGCCATTTTTAAGATAAATACACGAGAAATAATTAAACGTATTTAAACTTTCACATATTGAGCAACACTCAGCATAAACTATAATGCACATAACGTTTACGAAGCCATACTCTAGCAACACCAATTTCAAACAAATTAACAAAATCCAGCATTACCAAACAAAAATAAACAACAAGGGATAGGGGCAATAAACAATTGACATACCTGGAGAGGGTTCTGGCCATTTTTAAGCTTATTTATATTTATTTCTATGAAATAAACAGGGGGAGGGGGGGAGGGGGGAGGAGATGGTGGTGCTAATACTAGTATAACTTGGTAATATTCCAAGCCCTCCAAGCCATGTTATTAAATCTATATGCAGACGAGGAGTCACAATAACGTGGCTGAAAAATGTTGACCAAACCACACACTAGAAAGTGAAGGGACAACGACTATCCGTCCGTCCTGGACCATTCTCAAGCCGACTGTGTTCACACGGACCATTCACAATCGACTTAAGATGATCCAGGACAGACCTAAATGTCGTCATCCCTTCACTTTCTAGTGTGTGGTTTGGTCAACATATTAAATCTATCCTGATGTCAATTCTCCCTGGACAGCATTGCAATCTGATATTGATATTCCAGTTCTGCATCAACATGTTGTAATAGTTATGTGGATCTGCTGCTCACTGCAAGGACCAGTGCTCATGTCGTGCTCAAAGCGCCTGGCGTTCCGCGAGCGCTTTGTCATGGGTTCGTATCCTGGCCGGGGAGGATTTACTGGGCGCAAATCCTTAACTGTAGCCTCTGTTTAACTCAACAGTAAAATGTGTACTTGGTTGTAACAACGATTCTTCGCGGCGGGGATCGTATTCCAGGGACCTGCCCGAAACTGCTTCACTGCAAGGATCAGTGCTCATGTGAAGCACTGCTTACGAAGCACGTACTGCAAGGATCAGTGCTAGTGGCTGTACAAGAATGTAACAACTCTTCTATATATCTCAAAAAAAATGTGAAGCACTGCTTCACTGCAAGGACCAGCCCGACTCATCCAGTTTTCACAAGGCAAGCCCAACCCGAAGTGGGACTTGGCTTATGTAAGAACACTTCAAACCGTAAACCACAACTATAAATAACCTATTTTTACCACCAACTTTACATGAAAACCAACTTGAAATTCAAGTTCCCGAACCACTGCTATATAGAAAAACCAGACGTGTTTTACACAATAAATATTTAGAAACCACTTTGTAAAATCTCTCATACGTTACCAATCTTAACTCGATACAATTAAGTCAATAGGCAGAGAATAAGTCACAATAACATAACTGAAACAAGTGACCCATACCCTCAATACACAGGAAATATCGCGTCCAAATCATCGTGGACTTATGTTCGAATCCTCATAATGGCCCATGTGGATTTATATATTTATCCATACCCTCACATATGGGGAAAAAAAAGTTTTAGTCCATTCTGGACCCTTATCAAGTACAGTACACTACTTGTTCATGCATTTGGGTTGGATTATTTACAAAGTCAATAGTTTAGTGAGCAGATATTACAATGGTAGAGAGCACACCGGGACTTACCTCCCAGTCATGATGCCCAATACAGGTCAGAAGAAGATGAAGAACCTGGAGTGACCCCAACCCTTGGTCCGGCTGCTCTACCATCACCTCCACTAGTGTCTCGCCCAGCTCGGAGAAAATCCTAAAAATAAACATTTCATTTTAACACACACACACACACAAAGGCATTGAATATACTAAAAAAAAAAAAAAAAAAAAATAGTACACAATTAAGATTACATTGTACTATATTAATTGGTAGAAACGGCTCATTTTATGAGCCGTTTATAATTATAATCAAATATAGACAAATGTTTTTATCATGGCCAATCACCCCAAGTTCTATGTAGGGCACATGTCTCACAGACCATTATAACCACCTAGACAAGTTCTATGTAGGGCACATCTCTCACAAACCATTATAACCATCTAGACAAGTTCTATGTAGGGCACATCTCTCACAAACCATTATAACCACCTAGACAAGTTCTATGTAGGGCACATGTCTCACAAACCATTATAACCACCTAGACAAGTTCTATGTAGGGCACATGTCTCACAGACCATTATAACCATCTAGACAAGTTCTATGTAGGGCACATGTCTCACAAACCATTATAACCATCTAGACAAGTTCTATGTAGGGCACATGTCTCACAAACCATTATAACCACCTAGACAAGTTCTATGTAGGGCACATGTCTCACAGACCATTATAACCATCTAGACAAGTTCTATGTAGGGCACATCTCTCACAAACCATTATAACCATCTAGACAAATAGTAATAAAGTCTCAAAAACATTTAAATGTTGTTGCGTTCAACAAAAACAAGTGTTAACAAGTGTTAACAATATAATGAATAAATCATTACAAAATATATCATTACATTGCATATTTTTTTGTAAAGTGAAATTTAGAATAATTAAAATGTCCTGATCCTAAAAACAAATTATTCATATAAACTTAGGCTAAATGTACACAATATTACCTACTACAAGCTATATTATATCTATGCTACAAAATATTTCCAACGCAGATTAAAGTCCCCCATAAATTATCAGGCAATGTTTCTAGTTTCCATCTGTGTCCTCTAGTTTGGGTACTACCCCTGCTAAATTAATCTGTCCTAGTCTCCCCCGTCTTTTCCTCGGAATATTTCACACGTGGTAATCATGTCTCCGAACTTGTCACAATTGACTTGATAATGGTCCAGGACAGACCGAAACGTCTTCATCTTTTCATCTTCTAGTGAGTTGTTTGGTCAACATGTCTCCAGTTTTTCTCTTTTACATCAACATGAGGTTTACTTTTTTAGTCTTTCCTCATAGCTCATACTTCTCGGCTCTGGGACTAGTCCGGCGGCATGTTTCTGAACTCTTTCCCGCTTTATTTGTGCGTTTAACGAGATACAACACTTCACGCTAATACAACGCATTTCAGAACCGATGACGAAATGGTGGAAGCAGTGGGTTGGCCTCGAGTAACATTTACAACCTGGCAGAGTTGGCACTCCTGCACAAACTTGTCCAACTGCCTCTTTAACAAAAACCCACTTGAGTTCTGGAAATATTTCTTATACTGTTTGTGGTAGAAGGTGGAACAGTCACTAGGCTCTGATGTTGACAGTGTTCATTGATTGTACGTGAGGCACCTACACTCTTCACTTGTTCCATTCTGTATTTCCTAGCATATCCTTTGCTCAACTTCGCTATTTTACCGTGTATATTTGTACCATGAGATAACCACACCTTAATTATAGTATCTTCCATGTATAAACTCTCCTGTCTTCTTTCCAGAGTACATTTTGATGACATCAAACTTTTTGCAGTAATTCAGGTGTTTTACTGTGTCAATCCATGCTGCATATGCTCCTTATTTCTTCAGGTTAAGAGATCTCTCCTGCTTTAAAAACAGAAGCGAGTATCGAGTACTCGAATCGGGAAAGCATAAATGATACGAAAAGTACAGGCATTGTGGCGACTTTCCTTGCTCTGAAGGCTTCTCATAACCCACGAATCATTTTCCTAGCCGAGGCAATGTTAGCTCTGGTTGATACCTGGTTGATGGGGTTCTGGGAGTTCTTTACTCCCCAAGCCCGGCCCGAGGCCAGGCTAGACTTGTGAGAGTTTGGTCCACCAGGCTGTTGATTGGAGCGGCCCGTAGGCCCACATACCCACCACAGCCCGGTTGGTCCGGCACTCCTTGGAAGAATAAATCTAGTTTCCTCTTGAAGATGTCCACGGTTGTTCCGGCAATATTTCTTATGCTCTAATGTTTACTACTCAACACATCACTGAAGGTCACAGGCTCCCATAATAGGGCTAAATTAGTTGTAACAGTACAACTGAAGGAGGCAAAGCAACTAACCGTAATTACGAAAGCAACTAACCGTAATTACGAAAGCAACTAACCGTAATTACGAAAGCAACTAACCGTCTTGAGGTTATCTCGAGATGATTTCGGGGCTTTTTAGTGTCCCCGCGGCCCGGTCCTCGACCAGGCCTCCACCCCCAGGAAGCAGCCCGTGACAGCTGACTAACTCCCAGGTACCTATTTACTGCTAGGTAACAGGGGCATTCAGGGTGAAAGAAACTTTGCACATTTGTTTCTGCCTCGTGCGGGAATCGAACCCGCGCCACAGAATTACGAGTCCTGCGCGCTATCCACCAGGCTACGAGGCCCCAAACCGTAAATCACAGTGCATTACAATACTACATTTTGAAAGCTAAGCCAAGACACAATCGTGCACGCCATCTCCCTCCCACCCTGGAGCACACCTGGAGAGGGTTCGGAGAGTTCTACTCCCCGAGGCCAGCCTGAGGCCAGGCTCAAATTGTGATAACTTAGTCCAACAGGCTATTGCGTGGAGCGACCCGCACACCCACATATCCACTACAGCCTGGTTGGTCCGGCACTTCTTGCAAGAACTTATCTACAAGAAGTGCTGGACCAACCATCCCAAGAAAATTATAATACTAATAATAATATTCAAATGAGCGACTGAAGATAACCTATTCCTACTGGGAAAACCTAAAACTATACATTTCTAATATAAGAAATACAATCTAGGCTGTAATTTTGATGATGATTGCCAGGGAATGGCATTGCGTAGTTGCAATGAGAAAATACAACCTACCTTGCATAATTGGTTATTGCATTAATATCTTCCATGGCCACTGCCATGTGGTACGGCTCACCAAGCTGCAAAACCCCAGCAAACAGCACCTCTGCCAAGGGCTGGATTCTCTCTGCTTCCAACATGATCATTGCAGAGCAAACACAGTCTGTTGCTATTTCATGTAACCTGCAGAGAAGCAATGTCTTATGAAAATATTCAATGCAACACAATTATTAGTTCACCAAAGTAAAATTTTTGGCATGAAGTCAAATACAGCTAAATGACTCCAATAAGCAGTGTAAAGTCATAGTTTTGCACCAGCAGTTATTTCACATACACAGAAACACACAAATCACAATAGTGTGATACATCAATTGAACCAATCCACAAGAGCCGTGATGAGGGTTCAAACTTACGTCCAGGATGATCCCAGACGCACCTTAGTCGATTGACTAAGAACCCTCATCACGGCCCTTGTGGATTTGTTCACAACAAACATTGATCTTACCTGGGCGAGACCTGAGGATTTCTAACAACATTTAATATGTCACTAACAAGGCAGGTGTTAGTGAGCATCACCCATTCTTCCGTGTGAATGTTAAACCAAGACGCCATGCAGCGTAGCGCCTTCAAGTGTGTGCTCTCTTTGGTGGCTCCTTCTGTACTCACAGCAACATGCTACCAAACAAAACAACAACTTTAGTCTTATCACAGGAAAATAGTCATACACAAAAAACTACCTTGCACTAAGAAATATTTATAGAAATTGTTAATTCTTACTTAATCATTACTGTATCTTCCACTGTCAAAGGATGTGAAAGCCCCACCAGAAACAAAAAGGGGGTTAGACAAATAAAACTTGTCCTATTGCAATACGTTCCAGGTTGTACTTTAGATAAACATACACAGATTTCATTGCCAACTAAAAGGAGAAGATTTCTGTCTTTGCTCTTGACACTTGTTAAACGAGAATAAAAACCATTTGCATATGATTAGAATTAGCCTATTATCAGTCTTGTAGAACCCCAGTTGAGTAATGCTCCACTAGAGCATCACCGATCCAATTATTCCAGCAAAACACCTACCGTAGTAGCATCTGAATTTCAGATACGTCAAAATTACCAGTGACTTGTTAATGCCCAGCATTCATTCCCTTCTAAGCAGCTCCTAAACCTGAAGTCCCATTCACTGCATCATGCTACACATTATTACCTCCACATAATCATCCCAGCATTCATGACCTTCTAAGCAGCTACCAAACCTTAAGTCCCATTCACTGCATCATGCTACACATTATTACCTCCACATAATCATCCCAGCATTCATGACCTTCTAAGCAGCTACCCAACCTTAAGTCCCATTCACTGCATCATGCTACACATTATTACCTCCACATAATCATCCCAGCATTCATGACCTTCTAAGCAGCTACCCAACCTTAAGTCCCATTCACTGCATCATGCTACACATTATTACCTCCACATAATCATCCCATCATTCATGACCTTCTAAGCAGCTACCAAACCTTAAGTCCCATTCACTGCATCATGCTACACATTATTACCTCCACATAATCATCCCAGCATTCATCACCAAACCCTAACTCAGAAGATGGAGAAGCGACAACATTTCGGTCCGTTCTGGACTATCATCAAGTCGCGTGTGATGATCACGACTTGATAATGAACGGTCCAGGACAGATCGAAACGTCGTCGCTTCTCCATCCTCTCCGTCGCATTGTGGTTTGGTCATCACTTCTTGAGCGACGTTATTGTGACTCGTCGTCTGTATCCCAGCATTCTCCTCTCCTACCCTCATAACCTCTATATGCTTTCTTCTCTATTACTACCCACTTCTTTAACCCTTAACATGCTCGGGGTTTAATATCCTGTCATCCCCACAGGCGCATGTCATTTTGAAAAAAAAAAAATTATTTTTTCTTTCTAACCTGTTAAGGGGGCGACAGATTGTCAGAATCAAAGTTGTTCAATGTCAACCAATATTATTTGACTAGTTGTATATGAAAAGTGCTTTAATTGTCCCAAGTTTCAGTACTGCAGCATAAATAGAAAGGGAGATTTTTTGTTTTTGTTTTTTTCAACGTTTTTTTACACATTTTCAAGTCCACACTTCAGAACACACGTTTCAGATATAATTATTCTGTGACACTTTTCTGACACATTAGCATATGATAAAGGACCTTGAGATATAGAATTTCCAAAACATCTTTAGTTTTCCTAATACAAATGTTCAAAGTTCCCAAATTTTTTTTTGCAAATATGGCATGTTTATTGTTATTATAAAATCAATAAATGAACTTAGAGAAAAATGAAAACTCTCAAATGTAGAGACATGCCCCTCCACATACTGTGTAAGTTTCATGTAAATTGAATAAAAAATGAATCAGTTTTGTAAACATTTGTGTCAATTGAAAAAAAAAACAAATGAATGAAGTCTAAGGTTCTAAAATCTGTGGCTGAGGTTGACATCAACCAATTTTCTCCAAAATTGGCGTCCTTACAGATAGGCTTACGTACAGTCAGGTGTGTAAGTTTGATGCAAATCGCCCGAAAAAAAAATTAAAAAAATTCTTAAATTTTTTTTTCAATTAAACTAATTATAATATTTGTTTAATATATACTATTGTGATAGCAAAGAGTCATAGCTATGATTTCAGTTGACACTTTTAATTGATAATCGATTTTGACCATTTTGGCATAATTTTCACAACTACTTCAATATTTTGTTTCTCCCTTCCTATTTATGCTACGATGCTGAAACTTGGACCAGATGAAACACTTTTCATATAGAACATGTCAAAAAAGTTTGATTGAAATCGAACGATTTTTCATTTGTTGCATTTTTAGGGCAAATTGGAATCTGACGCCCCCTTAATTTGTGTTCACTGAGCACAGGAAAAATAATAAAAAAAATCGTAAGTGGCATATATTGCCCGCTATAGGGCGGGGAAGTGTGGCAAATTATAGGCGCTGACTCAGCGTGCGTCCCAGACGGTCTGTTGCTCGCCAGCTGTCAGGCCAGAGTTGCCACAAAGAGATAATTACCGAATTATTTCAATGTCTCTGATTGATTTTTCATACTTATTTTGCTGTAATATTATTCAATAGTGTGTAGTTTGATATATTTATATAATAAAATGAGTGAATCATCGCTGTACTCAAAAATATGGTGTGCGCATATTGTTGATTCAATTATGTTCATCAATCAGTGAACAAATACTTTGTCGGTTATTACATTATAAGCACAGGTTATATATAAGTATCTGCATGTTTTGTTCATTATAACGAACCACTAAGTAGCTATTATGAGTCAAAAAGTAACGAGGAGTGACCGCCGTTTACCAGCCAGCCACTCCTGCCCTCCCTCCAGTCATCTGACTCACCCACATTCTCCTCCCACAATAATGTTTTTGCTATAATTCACTATATACAGACGTTATATATAAGTATCTACATGTTTTGTTCACCATAACTGTACATCTAAGCTTGTATGGTGAGCAAAGGCACAAAGATGTGGCTACTCACAGTCAGCTGATCGGCGGCCGCCCTCAAGGCCAGACGCACTAATATTTCTCCTCCAACAATACTGTGTGGTGTTATTACGCTATATACACACATTATATATAAATATCTGCCTGTTTTATTCACCATACTTGTACAAATAAACTGGTATGGTGCCCAAAGACCATCGTGGTAACCAGTAAACAACACCGTCGTCTGCACGGTGGCGTCGTGCAGACGACGCCACCGCCCTCGCCAAAATGGCGGCTAAAAACCTTCTCTTGCTGTTTATACCCTCTATACACACGTTATATATAAGTATCTACATTTGTGTTCACCATAGCGAACCACTAAGCTGGTATGCTGAGTGCAGTCAATAAAAGGTGGCCACACACAGTCAAAAGACATCGCCACCACCCTCCCTTCCACAGCATTACTCCTCCTTCCATGGAGCACAGCGCTAAATATCACCACAATCCTGCTATTATCAGAACCCTGGTCAGTTTTATCACAGTCAGGGGTCTTCTGTAATAATATCATCGCTACATAATAGCATGAACAAGTATAATTTGGCATTTTTAGGCGATGCTGTGGTCACAAGCTGAACAGCAGTGCTGTTAGCTCATGCTGCGTGCGTCAGGCTTGGTTGCTCACTCAATACCGAGGCCAATAACACCTGGGAGTTTGGCCCACGATTTTTTTTTTAAATGGTGTCTGTTTACAAGAGCCCTGATGAAGGTGTGGTGAACCCCGTGTATCCGCGGGCTGTTTAAATCTTGCGTAGTACTCCAACACATCATATGACGTGATGCGCAGTTGACTGGAACAACGTCCAGCACGTCATATGACGTGATGCGCACTTTAAGGGTTAACATGCCCATACCACGAGAGCATCTTTTCACAATCTTGTGACTCATTGACTTGCCCACTAGTCCATGTTAATGTTAATTTAATTTTCACACGCTGCCATACCAATATTTAACATCCATACATGACTTTCATTCTCCCTTCCCAGCCTTTACTATTCTCATCTTCACTTGCACAAATTCATAATTCTGTTATTCAAATACTTTACTCTAGGCATTTCAAATTGGCCAAGCTAGTCTAGGTCATTATTATCTTACCATTAACTCATGTAGAGTAATTTTTACTGCCAACTAGTTTTCTCTTGCACATCAATCTTGGCATTGATGTGCAAGAGATGTGCAAGAGATGTGCAAGAGATGTGCAAGAGATGTGCAAGAGATGTGCAAGAGATGTGCAAGAGATGTGCAAGAGATGTGCAAGAGATGTGCAAGAGATGTGCAAGAGATGTGCAAGAGATGTGCAAGAGATGTGCAAGAGATGTGCAAGAGATGTGCAAGAGATGTGCAAGAGATGTGCAAGAGATGTGCAAGAGATGTGCAAGAGATGTGCAAGAGATGTGCAAGAGATGTGTAACCTCTAGGCAACGTTCTCCCTTACACAAGGGTTGCATACTTGGCTTGTCATTTAATTGATCACAAATTAAGCTCATATCGGATAATGTTGACCAGACCACACACTAGAAATTGAAGGGACGACGACGTTTCGGTCCGTCCTGGACCATTCTCAAGTCGATTGTTATTCGGCTGTCGAATAATCGAATAACCAAGTCGACAATCGACTTGAGAATGGTCCAGGACGGACCAAAACGTCGTCGTCCCTTCAATTTCTAGTGTGTGGTCTGGTCAACATACTTCAGCCACGTTATTGTGACTCATCGCCTTCATATCGGATAACTTCCCATGACATCTGTCTTCATATTAAAGGCACCACACTTTTGGTCCTGTCGGCTAGTGTCAACACTTGATGCTTTAACAAATTAAAAAGCATCACAGTATCGACACTTCCTCAGACTGGCGATCTCTGAGCCTTGTTAGTTCGGTGGGTTGGGCGAGTTCATAGACTTATGACCGAGCATCAAGATCAGGGGCCAGATTCACGAAGCAGTTACGCAAGTACTTTCGAACGTGGACATCTTTCTTCAATCTTTAACGGCTTTGATTACATTTATTAATCAGTTTACAAGCATGAAAACTTCCTAATCAACTGTTGTTATTGTTATAAACAGCCTCCTGGTGCTTTGGAGCTCATTAACCGTTTAATAATTGTAACCAAAACCACCAAAGATTGAGAAAAGATGTACAGGTTCGTAAGTGCTTGCATAACTGCTTCGTGAATCTGGCCCCTGATGTACACACACTCGCTCTTGTACACTGTTCCTGCCCTTCATGTTGGATTAGTGCCTCCACACACCCCTCAAAACCAACATTATCAATACATCACTACCATAGTATGACACTTCAAATATTACCTAACCACCACCTATGTGTAGTTGAGCCAGAGAAGACGAGACTCACCAGTAATTCTACTATACTAGGAACTTTCCTTCTGAAGTACTCGTCGAGCTGCTTTCTCCGATTTAATCCTAATCGTAACTGTCTGGAATGAAGTTCTTCAGGAAGTGCTATAAGGACTTCCAGTAAAGGAACCAAGTTAGGGGTGCTGGACCTTGGTCCAAGTTGAGTAATTAAATCTCCTGAAAAGACAAAAATATCAATCACAAACTTGCTAGATCTAGAGCACAGTATATCAGTACAGTACAGTACAGTACAGTACAGTTCAGTACAGTGAGTGAGTGCCCAAATCACACAAGTCCCAGTCAATATAAACAAATGTATTGCCTACAAGCTTAAAAGATTAACAATGGATAAAATATCACTCAACATTTCAACTAAACATGAAAAGCGTGCAACCGTGTAAAGTCAATTTCATCCACAATTATAGTTAGAAACTGTTTAACAAGCCTTAATAATGGCTTGATTGTGCCGATATATGCTTAGTTAAGGGGGAAGCGGGGGGGGAAAAGAATGTGGCAGAGGATTGGAAGAGCACTTGGTACAAGCCTGTGAGGGGTATTTTAGGGATCCTTAGGCAGGGAAGACTCCATGGGGGCCCCCTTAGGGATCTCTTATCTTGAGGTTATCTCGAGATGATTTCGGGGCTTTAGTGTCCCCGCGGCCCGGTCCTCGACCAGGCCTCCACCCCCAGGAAGCAGCCCGTGACAGCTGACTAACACCCAGGTACCTATTTTACTGCTAGGTAACAGGGGCATAGGGTGAAAGAAACTGCCCATTGTTTCTCGCTGGCGCCCGGGATCGAACCCAGGACCACAGGATCACAAGTCCAGTGTGCTGTCCGCTCGGCCGACCGGCTCCCATTAACTACCGGGATAGGGAGAGACTGTGGGGCTAATTGGGGGGAATAGTGGGGATACTGAAGGAAGAGAGCCCATGAGGGTACTGAGGGAGAGCCTTTAGAGGGACAGGGGGGAGCCAGTAGGTGGATGGGTGAGGCTTGGGGGGGAGGCTGTGGGGAGGATGGTGGGGATGGGGAGAGCACATGAGGGAACTGGAGAGCCCATGCATAGGATGGTGGGGATGGGGAGAGCACATGAGGGGACTGGAGAGCCCATGCATAGGATGGTGGGGATGGGGAGAGCACATGAGGGGACTGGAGAGCCCATGCATAGGAAGGCTGGATGGTGGGGCGAACACACACATGCACGATAGGTTTTAGAATGCTAGAAATTCTGAGCACTAATTTCCCTCCCTACTTTTTGTATCATCAGTAACTTTGCCAATTGTTTATATATGCGGTAAACAGAGGAACCAGGACAGAGCCTCGGGGCAATCCACTCCACAGTTGTTAGGAATATGGATGGTGGCCTTCAGGTGACATCCTATACAAAGGCTTCGTCACAGCCAATTATTAAAAAAAATATACATTTTGCTATAGGGTTACATATAAAAGGAAACAATGAACTCACCAATGGGATCTTCCCATGATGCCATGTGCAGCGCCAAGTCAGCCAAAGCCACACAGAGTTGAGTAGCAATGCCCTGATACGTGTGCTCCGTAATGTGACTAAGGTGCTCCAACATTGAGGCACGGAGGGAGGCATGAGCCTCCACTGGCAACTCACCAAAATACAACTGCAAAGTTGAAAATAGTAATTAGTTACATTTATGAATGGAATCCTAAGAGGCTATTCTATATAACATACTACATGGGGGGTTACCTCTAGTACCCGGGTACCCAGCAGTGCCCGGGTCTCTGTTCATTTACCTCTCCTCTCTCTCCTTTAAACCTTCCTGCTAGCCTCACCTAACTTTGCACAGTGACTGCTGAGGGGAAGGTGACCATCATGTGTGTATGTGTCCAGATAGTAATTGTTCCCATTAAAATGGGTGAACTTTATTCTCTCCCTTCTATGGGTCCTCGTAGCCTGGTGGATAGCACGCAGGACTCGTAATTCTGTGGCGCGGGTTCGATTCCCGCACGAGGCAGAAACAAATGGGCAAAGTTTCTTTCACCCTGAATGCCCCTGTTACCTAGCAGTAAATAGGTACCTGGGAGTTAGTCAGCTGTCACGGGCTGCTTCCTGGGGGTGGAGGCCTGGTCGAGGACCAGGCCGCGGGGACACTAAAGCCCCGAAATCATCTCAAGATAACCTCCCAGTAGGACAAACATGCACCAGCAATGTTATTGGTGTTAATTCAATGCCAATAACAGCCAAGAAACAAGCTGGAAAACACTATAAACAATCAAACCCACATTTCAGACTTCATAGGTTCTCACAATAGAAGCCGATCCTACTTAAGATGGGCTGGGGGGGCGGGAGTTGCCCTCCAACCACCCCTATGATACTGGCCAACCAATCACAAATCACCTTACAAAGTTTATCAAGGCTAACCCCCTAGCTAGCATCTAGGCCCCAGCCTCTCAAACACTCTTATAGATTTAAATTATTTCCAACTTAAAACCACTCGATTGTTGGCAAAAGCAAAAAACCGAGTCAAATGGGATCAATAGACAAACATTGGGGAATACTAAACCTACTCGAGCTGCATGAACCACAGGAAGTACGGGACCACCAGCACCTCACAGGTATTGAAACTGACTCACCCTCATTGATCCCCGTGAATGACGGCAACACCCACAACACACAACATAACACAATAACACCCACAACACACAACACAACACAATAACACCCACAACACACAACATAACACAATAACACCCACAACACACAACATAACACAATAACACCCACAACACACAACATAACACAATAACACCCACAACACACAACATAACACAATAACACCTACAACACACAACATAACACAATAACACCCACAACACACAACATAACACAATAACACCTACAACACACAACATAACACAATAACACCTACAACACACAACATAACACAATAACACCCACAACACACAACATAACACAATAACACCTACAACACATAACACAATAACACCCACAACACACAACATAACACAATAACACCCACAACACACAACATAACACAATAACACCCACAACACACAACACAATAACACCCACAACACACAACACAATAACACCCACAACACACAACATAACACAATAACACCCACAACACACAACATAACACAATAACACCCACAACACACAACATAACACAATAACACCCACAACACACAACATAACACAATAACACCCACAACACATAACACAATAACACCCACAACACACAACATAACACAATAACACCCACAACACACAACATAACACAATAACACCTACAACACACAACATAACACAATAACACCTACAACACACAACATAACACAATAACACCCACAACACACAACATAACACAATAACACCCACAACACACAACATAACACAATAACACCCACAACACACAACATAACACAATAACACCCACAACACACAACATAACACAATAACACCTACAACACACAACATAACACAATAACACCCACAACACACAACATAACACAATAACACCCACAACACACAACATAACACAATAACACCCACAACACACAACATAACACAATAACACCCACAACACACAACACAATAACACCCACAACACACAACATAACACAATAACACCCACACACACAACATAACACAATAACACCCACAACACACACAACACAATAACACCCACAACACACAACATAACACAATAACACCCACAACACACAACATAACACAATAACACCCACAACACACAACATAACACAATAACACCTACAACACACAACATAACACAATAACACCCACAACACACAACACAATAACACCCACAACACACAACATAACACAATAACACCTACAACACACAACATAACACAATAACACCCACAACACACAACACAATAACACCCACAACACACAACACAATAACACCCACAACACACAACATAACACAATAACACCCACAACACACAACATAACACAATAACACCTACAACACACAACATAACACAATAACACCCACAACACACAACACAATAACACCTACAACACACAACATAACACAATAACACCTACAACACACAACACAACACAATAACACCCACAACACACAACATAACACAATAACACCTACAACACACAACATAACACAATAACACCCACAACACACAACATAACACAATAACACCCACAACACACAACATAACACAATAACACCCACAACACACAACATAACACAATAACACCCACAACACACAACATAACACAATAACACCCACAACACACAACATAACACAATAACACCTACAACACACAACATAACACAATAACACCCACAACACACAACATAACACAATAACACCCACAACACACAACATAACACAATAACACCCACAACACATAACACAATAACACCCACAACACACAACATAACACAATAACACCCACAACACATAACACAATAACACCCACAACACACAACATAACACAATAACACCCACAACACATAACACAATAACACCCACACACACAACATAACACAATAAACACAATAACACCAATAACAACACACAACATAACACAATAACACCCACAACACACAACACAACACAATAACACCCACAACACACAACATAACACAATAACACCTACAACACACAACATAACACAATAACACCCACAACACACAACATAACACAATAACACCTACAACACACAACATAACACAATAACACCCACAACACACAACATAACACAATAACACCCACAACACACAACATAACACAATAACACCCACAACACACAACATAACACAATAACACCCACAACACACAACATAACACAATAACACCCACAACACACAACATAACACAATAACACCTACAACACACAACATAACACAATAACACCTACAACACACAACATAACACAATAACACCCACAACACACAACATAACACAATAACACCCACAACACACAACATAACACAATAACACCCACAACACACAACATAACACAATAACACCCACAACACACAACATAACACAATAACACCCACAACACACAACATAACACAATAACAACAACATAACACAATAACACCCACAACACACAACATAACACAATAACACCAACAACACACAACATAACACAATAACACCCACAACACACAACATAACACAATAACACCCACAACACACAACATAACACAATAACACCCAAAACACATAACACAATAACACCCACAAACACACATAACACAATAACACCCACAACACATAACACAATAACACCCACAACACACAACATAACACAATAACACCCACAACACATAACACAATAACACCCACAACACACAACATAACACAATAACACCCACAACACACAACACAATAACACCCACAACACACAACATAACACAATAACACCTACAACACACAACATAACACAATAACACCTACAACACACAACATAACACAATAACACCCACAACACACAACATAACACAATAACACCTACAACACACAACATAACACAATAACACCCACAACACACAACATAACACAATAACACCCACAACACACAACATAACACAATAACACCCACAACACATAACACAATAACACCCACAACACACAACATAACACAATAACACAACCACAATAACACACACATAACACAATAACACCCACAACACACAACATAACACAATAACACCTACAACACACAACACATAACACAATAACACCCACAACACACAACATAACACAATAACACCCACAACACACAACACAACACAATAACACCCACAACACACAACACAACACAATAACACCCACAACACACAACATAACACAATAACACCTACAACACACAACATAACACAATAACACAACATAACACAACACCCACAACACATAACACAATAACACCCACAACACACAACATAACACAATAACACCCACAACACATAACACAATAACACCCACAACACACAACATAACACAATAACACCCACAACACACAACACAATAACACCCACAACACACAACACAACACAATAACACCCACAACACACAACACAACACAATAACACCTACAACACACAACATAACACAATAACACCCACAACACACAACATAACACAATAACACCCACAACACATAACACAATAACACCCACAACACACACACAACACAATAACACCCACACACACAACACAACACAATAACACCCACAACACACAACATAACACAATAACACCCACAACACACAACATAACACAATAACACCCACAACACACAACATAACACAATAACACCCACAACACACAACACAACACAATAACACCCACAACACACAACACAACACAATAACACCCACAACACACAACATAACACAATAACACCCACAACACACAACATAACACAATAACACCCACAACACACAACATAACACAATAACACCCACAACACACAACATAACACAATAACACCCACACAACACACATAACACAATAACACCCACAACACACAACATAACACAATAACACCCACAACACAACACAATAACACCTACAACACACAACATAACACAATAACACCCACAACACACAACATAACACAATAACACCTACAA